AGCATATTCTTTTTAAAGTTGGTCATACTATACTAACCTAGATTTTTTTTTATCATTAAACTAATAAAATTTATTTTAAAATATACAAACAACTTAATATTGACTTTTTTAAGTCATCAAAATAATTTATAATAGTTAAATGCCTCTTAAATATATATGAATCTTCAAAGCTAAAAGTAATATGCACTAAACCAGGTTTTAAAATCTATCTGGAACATTAAACATGATAGAAGTAGAAAAAAAAATCTCTTACGAAGCCCTCTATGAAAGGAAATTGTGGCAGGTTCCTGATTAGACAGAAACCATTCCATCTCCAAGGGAGACTACACAGTATAACTGTGGCTTCATAGAACGAATTGGTTAGTGCTTCTTCTGTTTCTATTTTGTGGAATAGTTTGAAGAGTATTGGTATTGGGTCTTCTTTGAAGGTCTGATAGAATTCTGTGCTAAACCCATCTGGTCCTGGGCTTTTTTTTTTTGGTTGGGAGATTTTTAATGATTGTTTCTATTCTTTAGGGGTTACGGGACTGTTTAGATGGTTTATCTGCTCCTGATTTAACTTTGGTACCTGGTATCTGTCTAGAAAGTTGTCTATTTCATCCAGATTTTCCAGTGTTGTTGAATATAGGCTTTTGTAGTAGGATCTGATGTTTTTTTTTTTAATTTCCTCAGTTGCTGGTGTTATATCTCCCTTTTCATTTCTGATTTTGTTAATTTGGATACTGTCTCTGTGCCCTCTGGTTAGTCTGGCTAAGGGTTTATCTATCTTGTTAATTTTATCAAAGAACCAGCTCTTGGTTTTGTTGATTCTTTGTATAGTACTTTTTGTTTCTACTTGGTTGGTTTCAGCCCTGAGTTTATTTCCTGCCATCTACTCCTCTTGGGTGTATTTGCTTCTTTTTGTTCTAGAACTTTCAGGTGTGCTTTTAAGTTGCTAGGGTAGGATCTCTCCAATTTCTTTCTGAGGGCATTTAGTGCTATGAATTTTCCTCTTAGCACTGCTTTCATTGTGTCTCATAAGTTTGGGTATGTTGTGCCTTCACTTTCATTAAATTCTAAAAAGTCTTTAATTTCGTTCTTTATTTCTTCCTTGACCAAGTTATCATTGAGCAGGGTGTTCAGCTTCCATGTATATGTGGGCTTTCTGTTGTTTTTGTTGTTACTGGAGAACAGCCTTTGTCTATGATGATCTGATAGGATGCATGGGCTTATTTCAATCTTGTATCTTTTGAGGCCTGTTTTGTGACTGATTATATGGTCAGTTTTGGAGAAGGCACCATGAGGTCCTGAGAAGAAGGTATATTCTTTTTGTTTTAGGATGTTGTATAGATATCTGTTAAATCAATTTGGTCCATAACTTCTGTTAGTTTCACTGTATCTGTTTACTTTGTGTTTCCATGATCTGTCCATTGATGAGAGTGGGGTGTTGAAATCTCCCACTGTTATTGTGTGAGGTGCAATGTGTGCTTTGAGCTTTAGTAAAGTTTCTTTTATGAATGTAGGTGCCCTTGCATTTGAAGTATAGATGTTCAGAATTGAGAATCTTTCTTGGTAGATTTTTCTTTTAATGAGTATGAAATGTCCTTCCTTATCCTTTTTGATAACTTTTGGTTGAAAGTTGATTTAATTCAATATTAGAATAGCTATTCCAGCTTGTTTCTTGGAACTATTTGCTTGGAAAATTGTTTTCCAGCCCTTTACTTTGAAGTAGTGTCTGTCGTTGACACTGAGGTGCGTTTCCTGTATGCAGCAAAATGCCTGGGTCCTGTTTCATGTATCCAGTCTGTTATTCTATGCCTTTTTATTGGGGAATTGAGTCCATTCATGTTAAGAGATATTAAACAATAGTGATTGTTGCTTCCTGTTATTTATGATGTTATTTTGATGTTTGTGTGACTATATTCTTTTGGCTTTGTTGAAAGAAGATCACTTTCTTGCTTTTTCTAGGGTGTGGTTTCCCTCCTTGTGTTGATTTTTTCCATCTATTATCTTTTGTGGGGCTGGATTTGTGGAAAGACATTGTGTAAATTTGTTTTTGTCATGGAATGTATTCGTTTCTCCATCTGTGGTAATTGAGAATTTTGTTAGGTATAGTAGTCTGGGCTGGCATTCGTGTTGTCTTAGGGTTTGTATAAAATCTGCCTAGGATCTTCTAGCTTTCATAGTCTCTGATGAGAAGTCTGGTGTAATTCTGATAGGTCTGCCTTTATATGTTACTTGACCTTTTTCCCTTACTGCTTTTTAATATTCTTTCTTTGTTTTCTGAATTTGGTGTTTTGACTATTATGTGACAGGAAGAATTTCTTTTCTGATCCAATCTATTTGAAGTTCTGGAGGCCTCTTGTATGTTCATGGGCATCTCTTTCTTTAGGTTAGAGAAGTTTTCTTCTATAATTTTGTTGAAGATGTTTGCTAGCCCTTTAAGTTGGGAATCTTTGCTCTCTTTTGTACCTATTATCTTTAGGTTTGGTCTTCTCATTGTGTTCTGGATTTCCTAGATGTTTTGGGTTGAGAACTTTTTGCATTTTGTATTTTCTTTGACAGTTGTGTCAATGTTTTCTATGGTATCTTCTGTATCTGAGATTCTCTCTTCCATCTCTTGTATTTTGTTGGTGATTCCTGATCTCTTTCCTAGGTTTTCTATCTCCAGGGTTGTCTCCCTTTGTGATTTTTTTTTTATTGTTTCTATTTTTATTTTTAGATCCTGGAAGGTTTTGTTCAATTCCTTCACTTGTTTGGTTGTGTTTTCCTGTAATTCTTTAAGGGATTTTTGTGTTTCCTCTTTAAGGGCTTCTAGCTGTTTACCTGTGTTGTCCTGTATTTCCTTAAGGGAGTTATTTATATCCTTCTTAAAGTCCTCAATCATCATCATGAGATGTGATTTTAAATCAGAGTCTTGCTTTTCTGGTGTGTTGGGGTATCCAGGCTCACTGTGGTGGGAGAACTGGTTTCTGATGATGCCAAGTAGCCTTGGTTTCTGCTACTTATGTTCTTGCCCTTGCCTCTCACCATCTGGTTATCTGAGGTGTTAGCTGGTCTTGCTGTCTCTGACTGTGGATTATCTCTTCTGCAAGCCTGTATGTCAGCACTCCTGGGAGACCAGTTCTCTCTGGGAGGAATTTGGGTATGGAGAGCTGTAGCGCAGTGTAAGCTCTGGGGTGCAGAAGGAAACCTGAAGGATCCTGTCCTTCTGTTCCTTGGTTCTTGTGTCCTGATGGCTCTGGGTGGGTCCCTCTTCGGCCAGGAATTTGAGCAGAAATGGTGGTCTGACCTGTCCTCACAGGTGTACTAGTACTCCTGGGAGACCAGTTCTCTCCCAACAGTATTTGGGTATGGAGTGCTGAGACACAGGGTCAGCTCCCAGTGCAGACAGACACTGGAAGGCACCTGGATTCTGTCAGTGGGTCTTGGCACATTAGTCTCTCAGAACATAAATGTTCTCTGTCAGCAAAGACCAGTTACCAGCTGCCCCCCCTCACACACACACAAAAGGAAAGGGCTCAAGATGACAGACTTCCTAGAAACCAAAGAAACATAAGAAAAAAGACAGAAATATGAGTTGTGGGCTATTGTTACTTAGTAGCTAGGTCCCCAGGGTTGTATCCTGTCCCTTTTGCCATATTGAATTTTACAGAGATAGTATTGCTTTTCATTACCTTTACCTATCAGTCTTTAATTGTATCAAATACTGCTTGTTTGACATCTCTAGATCTTAAGAATAAAGGTAAGGAATACAAAACATGTTGTTGAAATGGGAAAGCATAAGCCCACAAACCATGCTGGCACAATTGATCAACAACTTGGAAGTAAATTCTCACCTCAAGTCTAAAGCCCACATTAATTGCACATGGATTCATGAGTTAAATGCTTGCAAACATTTTGGAGGTCTTTCCTTGGACAAGGAGTGAGGCTCACCACAAGGAAAACCTTGTTCACACAGTCATTCAAACCTCTTCAATCAGAAACTTGAGGAAAATGAAAGCCAACTTTTCAAAAACATCACATTGGATGATAGCCTTTACAAGTCTTCAATGCTTGCTTATAAATCAATTTAAAAGATACCAGCACTCATTTCAAAGGTCTTCAAGGAGAGAGAGAAAGAGGGAGAAAGAGAGAGAGAGAGAGAGAGAGAGAGAGAGAGAGAGAGAGAGACCATTTATGTAAGAAATAGAGTAGAGTCAGGAAACATGACAAAAACTATTCACCATGCTAATTAGAAGGGTGAAAATAGTAAGGTGGGAGTAAGTGTAAACTTGGCTGAGTTGCTTAGTTCTGGTGAAGCAGTCAGTTACACTGACACAGTAGTTCCTTACCTTCCTCTGCCTGCTGAATACGCTAACATATCCATAAGCTCTGCAGTCTACACCTAGAAATCATATATCCAAGTACAAGTGTGTAACTTGATAGAAAACAGCAAAATGGCTATGAAGAATACATTGGGGATAATGAAAGGATGTGTTTCCATAAGACCTTTTAAGAATGTAGGAAAATGATACCAGGAAATAATGCCAATATAAAAAGAGAAAAAACATTATATTTAGGGTTTTAATTTAATTAGAAAAGGAACTATAAGTATTTACAAGTACAGTAACCTAAAATGTTAAATAATCTTTAGAAAAATGCCAATTCTTTTATCATATTCTTCTTTTTCTCACTTTTCTACTCTAAATGTACATGAACTTTAATTTGTGTGTGTGTGTGCGTGTGTGTGTGTGTGTGTGTGTGTGTGTGTGTGTGTAGTCCTGTGGATTAGACTTGACTTCAGACATAGACATACTAAGCAAAAACTACCACTGAGATGCACCCTTCCCCAGCCTTGCATTAACTTTAAAATCAGGGAACAGAAACAAAATATTTTGAAGAGAAAGTCTGTTGCATTGCACTGGGGTGGGCATGTCTGACAGGAAGTTGTTTCTGCTGTGACTTTGAGTCCTTAACTTGAGCACAACCCTCCCTCAACTTTGCCTTGTGGTCTGACTCTCTGCTCCTCTCTGTTGCAGTTGACAGCCTGCATCCACGGCTCGGCTGCCATGCTCTACCCCATGTACTGGCAGCACGTGTACATCCCTGTGCTGCCCCCACATCTGCTGGACTACTGCTGGTAAGGCTGCTGAGCGCTGGTCCTTCCTCATCCAGGAACAACCCACATATGTGAAGACTTTAACTTGTAACTGCTTTGGGTGACACTAAATTAAAAACAGTCTTAAAGGTACAGGGTATGGAGTACCTGACAGTAAGGTGCTTTATATCATGGCATTCTAATAGGGCCAAGAGAAAAGCTAATACTTTTAACACTTCTTACTATAGGGAAGCCAAAAAGTGTGTGCTTTTTTCCCAGTAAGACATATTGGAAACTGGTGACAGGAGCAGGAATCTGCAAGGTCTTCGGTTTCAGCCATGCCCTAGCACACGTCCCACTAGACTTGCTTTTAACTGTAGTTTGGGCCTTCTAGGGCTTTATTATTTTGTTTTTTGTTTTTTCTTTCTCTTTTTTTCTCCCCCCTGGCCTCTTGATCTTGCCTATTTTTGTTTGTTTGTTTGTTTGTTTGTGTTTTATTTTACCTTTTTTTGAGACAGGATTTTGCTGTATATCCTAAACAAGCCTCAAACTCACAGAATCTTCCTTCTCAGCATCTTGGGTGCTGGGATTACCATGTGTCACTACACCCAACTGTATAACCCTCTGAAGCTTTGTGAGGAATTCACTGTTGAGCGTGGATTAGTGGAGGAAAGAAAAGAAGCAAGGTGAAGTTGTTTAGGCACAATTATATTTTTAAGATAAAACAGCATACAGGGATGGATGGCTCATGGGAGACGCAGTGCCTTCTGAAGCACCCTCAGTGACTTTTGGAGTGTGCCAGAAGGGAGAGTCTATTTGGCTAACTTGAATCTGTTTTCCTTATGAATAATTTTTCTCTGTTGTAATGTATTAAGATGCATTGTCTTAGAACAGCTCATGTCAGTAGATGCTGAGAAGGGGGTATAGTGCATACATCGAAAGGCCCTTGGCAATCTTGCCAAACATTGGAGCTTCAGGAGAAGTGTTCCATTTTGGGGACCACAGCCCCTACTTGTGATCAGATATTTCATGAAATTGGCCATTGATCCAGAATGGTAGAGGCCAGTTAGCCTATGTTTGCTTTTCTTTAGTCCTCTCTGAAAAGGCTCATGTAGGTAGCCATCTTATCTCCTATAAGCCTTGAGGTATTTGTAGTAAACAGGATTTGGATGTTTTAAGTTCAGCCTCTTTCTAAGAAGCCACAGATACAACAAAGACATAGCTCAGGGTCAGCAAATACTATCCAACAGCATAGAGCCCAATCAACTGGCCTACTTCTTCATATTGAGATCTTTCTGATCCTGGTGGGTTTTCTTGTTCTTACTTCCTCCAAGTTTCCTGATAGATGTATGAATCATTAAAGACTAGATCGCTTCTTTTGTGGAAGCAGTGGGGAGCTGGAGGGTAAGGGGATGTTGAGACAGGGTTTCTCTGTGTAGCCCTAGCTGTCCTGGAACTCGCTCTGTACATTAGGCTGGCCTAGAACTCAAAATCTGCCTGCCTCTGCCTCTTGAGTTCTGGGATTAAAGGCAGGCAACACTATCAACCCTGGCATTTTTAAAATTTTTATTTAATTTTTTATATGTATACGTATTTGGCTAAATGCATGTTAGTGCTCACAGAGGCCAGAAGAGGGTATTGGATCCCCTGGAACTGGAATTACAGATGTTTGTGAGCCATCATGTGGGTACTGAGGAATTGAACCCTGGTCCTCTGCAAGGGTAGCCAGTGTTCTTTACCACTGAGCCAGTCATCAGGAATGGAGCCCACATTGTGTTTGCTCTGTCTTTTTACATTTTGCTGAATTTTGGAAATTGTTTTTCATTAAAGATTCTTTCTATATACTCCTGGTCTGGATACCATTTCTGATCCCTTATGGAACAGTTAAGGGAGCATTATGTTTTCAAACAGAAGGATCAAGATACAAACCCCTTGAAATAAATTTACCTTATTTGGGGCCCCTGATTTCCTCAGTATTTTCAGACCCCAGTGCTCCCTCAGCACCCCACTTTTATGCAAGTTCTGTGTCTCATATTCCCGAGGAAACCATGGAATGCTGTGCTGTTCCCATTAGCTACTACTCCCTCTGCCCCTGGGTCAAGGTGAGGGTCATCAGGCTCCTGTCCCTGTAGCTGTGTCATGGTGCCAGATTCTCCATGTCCTTTGGTTCCTAGCACAACATCTAGGAATCGCTCTTACTGCCCTGTCACTTTTGTCTGCTTATCTACAGTCTATGTCAACCATTTATTTAGACATCCTCAGCGCCTTTCCCCTACCCCCCACCCCTCAATCTCTGTAGCCCTTCCCACTCTCTCTGAGCTCACACTGGTCGTGTTTATCCTCTATACAGAGGTGACCTCTCTCTCTCTTAGAGAGCCCAAGAAATAGCACAAACAGGGCTGAGCTAATAGGACAATACCTTGTCTCAAGTTTATTACTGCCTGGCTACACAGCTTAGAGGATGTGAATTTGCTTCTAGGACTATCTGCTCTTACCTGAAGAGGACTTCCTCAAATCCTTTCCAAACACTTACTTGTATAAAAGTTACTTTTTAACATGAAACATACTGTCAGGCACCAAATAGCGTGATTCCTGACACCATGCAACCTTTTGAAAACCTTTCCACTGCTCCCTTCTCCTTGCTGCTTCTCATGCTCTCTGACTTGACCACAGCTTTGTCTATATCTCCTTGTATCTACCTCTCTGTCCTTCCTGTTCACTGACGCTGCTGGATTTGCTTGCCTTCCTGCTTACACTAGAACTTCCTGGAGTTCTCAGTGTGATGAATATTTGTGCTGTATTTTGGACAATGGGCAACATCTAGTTGAGGCCAAGATGTTAGTCTCCATCAACAGGCACTCAGATGATGGGTGTTGAAGACAGATATAAGGGAGTACCTCAGCCTTCCTATCTGTTCTTTTTTTGATAGATTCTATTGGGGAATTCTAAAGGCCACTGCAGGCAAGACCTACTAGAAAATGGTATCACCCATCTTCAGCTTTCAGCAATACTCTACTCTTATTCCTGACTCCTCTTTACACCTGTCATGGTCAGACCAAAGATGAGGCTTCTTATTCATGTGAGACCTGAGAGGGCAGGTAACCTGCCTGAATTCCAAGGCCTTCCTGTCCTTGGAGGAAGGAGGAAGAGTCTATGCAAAGACAGCCTCTCCACTTGGGCTTGGGATCTGCTTCCTAAACTTATCTGGGAAACATCAGAACTTTTTTTCTCCCTTTTCTGCAATCTCCTTCCTCTTACTACAAAGGTGTGCAAGCCCTGGGTCCTCAGGCAGATCTTTGCTTGTCTTTTTTTGAGCTTCTAAACCAATTAGTTCTTCATTTTTCCATTGACAAGTACATCAGTGGAAAGAACATGTTTGTCATCTAGTGGTGTATGTTGTCATTGTTTAGATGAAACATTGTAGGACTGAACAGAAGATCAAAGAGAAGAGGGCAGAGGAGTTTGAAGGAAAGAAAAAGCTTAAGACACACCCAAGAAAGGGAAAGGGGAGAGAGGAAAAAAAAGAGGGAAGGCTGGAGAAGATAGGAGACAGCCTCACAGAGTGACCCTCCTTCCCCTAGCATGGTTATATGGATAACTCCTCCCCCATATATAACAGCCTCATAGACACAACATTACTCGACAGACAGACAGACACACACACACACACACACACACACACACACACACACCACCCATCAGCTCTGCGAGTCAAAATCACAGAGAGAAAAAAGTATTCTAGTGATACTAGTGATAACAGCCTTGAGGACCCAGTCACTGGAACACCTTTTTTTACCTCTGTGACCACATTCCATCTTCCTTATAGCCCTGCAAAACAGGTATGATTAGCTCTACTTCACAAATCAGTGAACATAGGCCCCAAAGGGTTTACTAACTTGTTCCAGCATATGTACTGTGTTCTGTGTGATTCCAGCCTCAGGATCACAAGCAAGAACTATGCATATATATGTACATGTCCTAAAAGTCAGGTATATTTGTGTACATGGAAAGAAGCAGAGATCTGGAAACATCAAAATATTTAATAATGACTTGTGATGAAGAAGAGATTATTTCAGCATGCTTTTTATTATATTTTCTATTATTTATATAATGAAGTACAATTTTTATAATTGAATGCTATCTTTTAGAAAATAGTTATTTAACATAGCCAGTTGTTCAGTCTAGCCACTACCTGCTGTCCTGTCTTTTTTGCTCTTTGCCTTTTCAGTGAAGACTGTCCCAGATCGTCTTTCCAATGCCATCTCTCACTTCAGAGTTCAAGAGTGTCTGCTGAGCCATAGGCATGGTAGAAGCTCAGACTTGGAATAGAAGGCTTACTGAGGAAGGGCGCTGAGTCTTCCAGTTGAGCTCTGCTTTTTTTGGTGCCTTAATAGCTTTGTGATGAGTCCTTCTCGTGTTTATAGATCAGGTACCTTTCTCCTAGTCTTTTGCTTTCACAAAGAACTTTGTGACTTCTGACCAAAGGATGATTTCATGCCAATGGGAGTTGGCATCTGCTTGTAACTGTAAAACAGAAGTGTGATGAAAGGAAAGACCACAAAAGAAGAAGGCAGACCCCTAGTCAAGGCTTAAGTTGATCATTTTAGTCTGCTGTAACCACTATGGGCACAAAGTAAAAATGTCATGAAAATGGAGTCAGTGTTAATTACTTTATTCTACTGAGCTCCTTCCCTTGAAAGTCACCAAGTTAAGCTGAGTCCTTGGTGGCTGGAGCCAGCAAGGGATAACCAGCATTTAAGCAAAGGGCTGGGAGCTCTTAACATGTAAATCTGAGGGAGGTTTGTTCCTCTGCAGATGATTTAAATGTTAAGTACATCCCCTTGCAGGGGATATACAAGTGGAATCTGAAAACTATTATCTCCTGTAGAAATAAACTCTCAATTTGCTCACTGCACAGGAAGGGCAGATTCTAGTCATTTTCACTGCCAGCAGGTGCCCTTTCTATGCATAATAGACTTCAGAAGTGTAATTAACACATGAGGACCACTGCTGCCAGTTTTTCTTCAGGTGCATGCTGCTAG